CTCCTTTTATGTTTACGAGGGAAAACGTAGCAAATTTTATTCCTAAGAGTGGGGTTTAACTCACATCTCACCTAACCTTACCTAACACGGGCATGTCCCTTTAACCACCTAGCTTAACCTCATATGGTAATTTAGTTAAAGTTTAGTTTAAAATTATCTTCGTCGAAGCCTTGCGGAACGCAGTTTGTGATGAGTCAATTTTAGTTTTTGCGTTTTGTTAGTTTTTAAGTGTTGTTAGTTTTTTACTATCCTCCCAAATAGTTGGTGAAGACCTGTAAAATATTTTTGGGGCAAAGTGTTACTAGTGAGCAGGTAGAGAGTTGGGACCGCAGGTCACATCTGAGGATTTTGGGCTAAAATGTTACTGGGACGAAGTGTTACGAAACGAAATTCGCTGAGCCACCCTTTATTGTATTCCCAAGGGTAAACTTCAAGAGAAACATGCTACATATGGTGCTCCACCCGGAAGTGATGGAGCTGTCTAACCCTCAGGATGGTCAACCACAGAAATATTTGTACAGTTTTTAAACCATTTTATTAAGCATTGCAAGCCATCCATAAAAAACAAAGTTTTGTTATTGTTGGTTAACCAAGAGACTTACATCACAATAGATGCCATAAACAAGGCCAAAGACAATGGTGTTGTGATTCTCACTATTCCACCCCACACAAGTCATAAACTGCAGCCCCTAGTCCATTGAGTGTTTGGTTATTTAAAATCTACTACAACGAAACTAGCAAAAACTGGGTTTTGTCTCATCCTGGAGAGCCAATAAATAGTTATTTATGTAACTAGTGTGCGAAATGGCTCTTTGCTGCATATGAGAGAAATATTTACGCACAAGCTGCAGGCAAGTTTAATTAAGTTCTGATTAAATGCAGCTAAGTTAAAAAGACTACGTTGAAACAAAAGAGTGTTGAAAAAGCAATGAAGAATCTTTTTGGAAAGTCAAACAAAAATCAAATAGGTATTAAATCATAAAGGGGAAAAAATCTATCCAAAATTATAATACCCCCGCCGCAGCAAACCTGCAGACTAAGCGAATTTCAACTTGTATGATTACGTTTTTACTAAAATATTTCCATAAATAAGACATAATTCCCAATTTGAATAACATTAGATATAACGAGTGCTTAGGTTTGCTGCTACGGGGAAGGTAAAAAGTGTTTTTTGACCATACGTCAATAGTATAGGATGAAATGAATAAATTTGCAAAATTTGATCAACATATATCCATAAACAAGTAAACTTTTGTTTTTAGGGTCAAAAATGGGAAAACTCAAATTTTACCCCATAAACCCCTGTTCCCATGGTCCGATTATGCTGGATCGCGAACTCGTTCGAATAAACGTAGGTTTACACGTTTGTACCAAATTTCATCAAAATCGGAACATTTTCCCTCGAGTTATCGCGCTAACGGACACACACATATATATGAATTTGAAAGGATGGTGTTTTTGGCCTCTAGGGACCTCAAAACGAAAAATTAAATCGGTCCTGGGGCCTTACCATAAGTACTACGGTAATAGCTTACTGTTACTGTTGATACTGTTCAATGAAATGGCGACCATAGCTTATTCCCTATATGGGAAATTCGCTGAAAATAAATTTGTTGAAATATCTTATGATGAGTTAAGTCTTACCTCATTTATGTCCGATGAAAGCCTAATCGGCATAAACGTTTTAAGGGAGCAAACGGAAAAGGAAATGGCAGAAGAAAACAAACAGGAACATGTTTTTTTCTGATCTACCTCATGGACTGACAAATGGGTTCTATTTCAGTTCAAAGGGGAAAAAGTATTAAGCAGTATATTGGGAAAGTGATTTCAACAACAAATTGAGTCCCAACTGTCAAGTATTAGCAAAAAGGTTGAAGAAAACTTCAACTATTGTGTGGCCGGTCGAAGAAGATGTTCACATCCAGCAGTTGCTCAACAGGGAGAACTAAAATTTCCTATTTCAATCACAAGTCTACATGTTAGCTGAAAGGCGAATAAGCCGTAAAGACTTATACCTATTTTTTTAATTAAAATAATTTTATGAGATGGTCAGGTATTGTAGTTTGAAAGTCCTTTCCCTTATATCAACCTTTCAATTTATCAAACTGGTGAATTAAAGCTTATAAACTTATAGAAAACAAATAGTGTTTTTGGCCTCTGGAGACATCAAAATTAAAAATTAAATCGGTCCCGAGTCTTACCGTGCCACCTTTCCTAATAATAAATAATAACTACTTCCCCTATAGGTTGTAATAGCTACTTCCCTTAGGGAAATTAGATCAAATCAAATGAGTAATACTCCTACTATAAAAAAATATTCTAATACTTTCCATAAGTACATCAATCTTTATCTAGGTTCAGAATAATCCTTACAGCCTTCTTTTGAATGATCAAAACTTTGTTTAGATTTTGTTTTGACGTGCCCCCATATATTGAAATTTTGTTTAGTACAATTTGAACATGAACATGGTAGTCCCAACTTAAGAAATGCCTAAGAATTTTGCTATACCAATTTCACTAACTTTATTCTGTTCCAAGTTCCATTGTTATAGCTGTAAGGTCTTCTTTGTTCTGAACTATGGATAAATACATAAAACTAGTGGCTTGTAGGGACATAAGTCCCTGAAAAGCTCAAATGTAAAACAACATATTGCAATTCCGGTATTTAAACAAACTCAGAATAACATTATCTATGTGTCAGAATAGGCATCCCTGTGCACCATATCTTTTGTGTAAAAACCAGTTTGTTGTTCTTCTTTGTTTGCTTTTGTTGATGTCATTTTCAATAAATAATTTGAATCACTCCAGTGGTTTAACATAAAAGGCAGCAAACATATCATTGTTTGTGAATAAATACTGGTTTACTAAGGTAGCTTTGGTCTTGTGGTTAATGAGGATAAATAAAAGCTTCCCTGTTTGGAATTTTAGAAATTAATTGGAGGTTCGCCTTCAGATGAATTGAAGACGCCTGCAATTTCATCTGCAATAGGCTTATTATACCTACGACGATCTATATTTATCCTGTCTACAAACCTAAGTTCTAATTCACTGTCACCTTGTACAACCATTTCTTCCGAAGCTCTTTTGTAAACTTGTGCATATAGATTTTCTAATAGAATTTCAGCTAGTTTTGACAATATTTCAGGTTTTAAGTCACTATTTTCTCGACGCCTTTGACGAATTTCTGTTGCTGTTGATGTGTCAATAATGTACAATTGGCCATACACGGGGTCTTCATCATGTGGAGGCAGCAAATCTGATATTGAACGATAAATCTGTCCTTGAATTTTGAAACAGTATGATCCTTTTCCTGGAATATATTTCTTACTGGCTGAAAAAGAAACAAAAGCCATCGCACTGTTGTATTGTCGAATGAATTTATACAGTTGTGGGCTCTCTTCAAACAAATTTTTAAGTTCTACATTAGTTTTTGGCTGAGGAAGGTTAATAAGTCCGTTATGGCAACATGTCATAAAATGATTATTCGTTAGTTCTTCTCTAAAATGAAGAGCACTACATTGAATGCACTCTTGGTCCAGTAATCCTGCATCATGAATATTTACATTTCTCTCGTCTACCATGGGTCTCCTAAAAAGGGGTGGTAACATATCTTGATTAAGTTCGTCATTATCTACTCTTGCTCTTCTACGCACATGTCATTCCTATGAACAGTTCCCCGCCTTTGTGGTATTCCCCTGGCGTTTATATTAAAAATGAAAAGAATATACCTATATCCAGCAGCCTACATACCAAAACATCTTGAATCCCTGGTGATTTTATAAAAGTATGATCCAATATGATTACTCTACGTTGTATATTCACTGCACTAAAAAAAAATATTTACTTACGAAGGAATTCAAATACACCATTTTAGAACCAATAACATTTATAGGTTATTAACTATATTAACACAACCTTAACCTTAAAATGTGTAGAAATATAAAGAAAACAACATCATTTAAAATAAACTTGAACATATGATTTAAAAATAAAAACAAAACAGAAGTTAGATTAAATTTTGACTCTTTGATTATTTATACAGAATAATTATTCTATGTCGTTTATTCCTTTAACATGAAAATAACGTAAAAGCATGAAAAAATGAAACTTGAGTATATGATTTAAATATAAACAAAGAATGTAGACATTTTTCCGATTAATCTTCAAGATTTCAGTTTTATTATAGTATACATTTCATAGTTGACTGGCTAAAAATAAACCAAATGCGTGTATTGATTACTGGTTTCAAGATATAGCACGATCAGCTGTATTGAAGTAAACAGAAATCAGCAGTAAATGACTTCTAATGCTATTCTTATGGAGAACATTTTACGTTATATCTAATTTTGAATAAAAAAATAAGAAAAATGAATAGTTTTCCCTCAAAATTCACGTCAAGACCTTTAAAATAAGACCCCTCCCATCCTTCTACGGCCATCCAGTCACTCACAATTTCTTTACAAAAATTTGACTTAGGAATTATATATATAGATTAGTTTTAAAATAATATTCGATTGTTTTAATGAATTTAATTCACATGTTTCAGCTGATTGAATAACGTTAATACTGTAAACGTTTCAAGTTTAAATTACTTGCAGAATGATATAATAGATCGTTTTTACGAAAAACTACTGAAAAATGAGTGATTTGTATATTTCCCCATGTAGTGGGTAAAAAGAGCTCTAAAATGACACCTCGTTTATGAAAATTGGCGAAGAAATAAGGAAGTGATTGCGTACCAACAAAAAAAAAGCAATTGGACACTAAGTGTGTCAAATTATGACAGCTTGACACTTACTTGGTTTTACATTGTTGCATATAATGCAAGGTGAGTTTAGAATGGGCTGAGATAATTTTTGCTGAACCAAATACAAGGGCTGTCCAGAACAAAAGAAAAGTTTTGGAATAAAATAAAACGTTTGCGCACAAGAAGTACATGTTTTCAGTTACATTTTTCATCATTGATATGAACAATAACCTCCATACTAATATCCTAACAGGTATTGAAACGACATGGTGGCAAACTCACGACCGATTATAGGATTACAGTGCAACACTTGGAATGTAAATGTTCCTGCAAAGTGAAAAAAAGGGTATGTATGTTTATCCTGTAGAAATTTTGGGAACGTTCTGGATATAAATATAACCATATATAACGCATAAAATGTTCCGGTTTCTCCTTTCTCAACCGCAATGAATGAACCCATGGTGGAAGGAAAAAACATAGGTGTGCTATTCCCACATATTCTGAAGTCACTCGGGTTGCAAACAAAAGATCACCTGATTGTAACTGTCAAATTAGTATGTATTTGTTTTGATTTGATTGTTATTGTTTTCATAATAATAAAAACAATAACAACCAAATCAAAACAAATACATAAACTAATTTGACAGTTACATTCATGTGATCTTTTGTTTGCAATCCGAGTGACGTCAAAATATGTGGGAATAGCACACCTATGTTTTTTCCTTCCACCATGGAAAGAACCCAATACCTTTTTTTTTCCAATTGGCCAAGAGTACCACATCACATGTTTCGTCATCTTCTTGACTGCTCTCTATTGCTTTGTAGTTATGATTAAACCAAACCAGTTAACATAAATAACTACAAACAGCCTCAACAAATACGTCCCTTCTGTGTGCATTGTACTCGCCACGTCCGTATCTTGTCAGTGCCAAATCTCCACCCGACGCCCGTTTAGTGTGAATTGGGACGTTTGGTCTTGTTGTCATTGGTGTCTGATACTATTTCAGACGCCATCTAAGTTTACACTGGACATTATAGAGGTTATAGCGAGTTTATTTCCAAATCAACAATTCAGTGATTACGACACAAAGAGCTTTTTGCTTGCAGCTTATTATTCCCTTCGACTACCCAGTTCATAGGGGTAATGAAACACAATACAATCAATTAATATAATAGAACTAGGTAAAAAAAATAATTTAAACTATAACTGAATCTAACACTATTTGAAGACTAATAAGTTAGAAGCCTATAAGCAATATTTTAAGTTACATTATAATTTAGAAGTTCTTTAATATCAAGTAGGCCTAATTGGTGTTATTTTCAGGACTGTACCAAACATCAAGTATATGATGGTAATTTTTGCGAATGCTATTGCCCTAATCGTAAAAAAGATTGCTCACCAAACAAACACTGGAGTGACAAGAATTGCTCTTGTGTATGTAACCAGGACACTGCTTGCTCGACCGGCATTGAACAGGACCAAACCACATGCAAGTAAGTGTTAACATATAAAGGTTCATTATGTGCGTTGTAAGGCTTAAGAGGCTCTTTTTCTCCCACGGGCAAAAAATTATCAGCTGGAGTCAAGGAAATTCACTTTTAACATAAGAGCCTGATCTAACCATAGGTTCAAAACACCTAGAGGCCTGCACCACAAGTATTAAAAATACCCCTGCCGCAGCAAACCTGCCGAATAAGTAAATTTCCATTTGTCTAAATTGATTTTTAATTAAATCTACTGTATTTAACAAACATTAGGTTTATCGAGTACTTAGGTTTGCTGCTACAAAGAAACTAACAAAGTGTGTTTTTTTTGTAAACTAATAATAGTTTGGTATAAAAAAAATAAATTTGCCAAGTTTGATCAACATATATCCATAAACAAGCAAACTACAACATTTTACATATTCTTCATAAGAATAACATGGGAATTTTAATTTTTTTTTTCTCCGTTACTAATAACTGTACAAAAACACTAAATTATTTATTTTTTAAGGTATTTAAAAAGGTTTGGAGAGAAATTTGGAAAATTTATATTTTAAGGGTCAAAAATGAGAAAAACCAATTTTTACCCCATAAACCCCTGTTTCCATGGTCTGATTATGCTGGTTCGCAAACTCATTTAAGTTTGTCCCGCCTTACACCTTTAAACAAAATTTAATCAAAATCAGACTAAAATCACTGAAGTTCACGGTTATTTTGAAAGAATGTTTTTGACCTCTGTGGACATCAAAATGAAAAAGTAAATCGGTCCCAGGCCTAGGTCTTACTGTGCCAATAGCGACTTCTCTATAAGGAAATTCGCTAAAAATAATTACAACAATGTCCAACAGTCCTTTTTTATTATCGTAGATTACATACAAACCGGTACTTGATACATGACAATGATTGTGAATGTACATCGGACCTAGTGAATGTATGATGTGGATGTGACATGGGGAGTAGTAGATTAGCGGGTTGGCGTGCGTTTAAAAAATCTCTTATACCATACCCATAACACACATATAACAAACAATACACTCTTACATGTCACACATAACAAACAACTTTTTTTGCATTCAGGGGGAACCAAAACGGATAGATATTTCCACCCAAAACACATTTGACGAACTCAATACTTTCTTCATACACTATGTATGTATAAAGGGAGAAAGTTAAAAATTTAGACTCAGAAAAGGTTAGACAGCAAGACAACGTTGAAAGAAATAAAAGTAGAAAACACCAGCAGTATCTATATGCTACATTTAGTTACACGGGACCCGGGACACAACGAATTGCTAAAAAGATCAAGAAACATTTTGTATCAACAGCCTTCAGGACTCAGGACACCTTGAATTAAATACTGCATCTACAAATAGAAGATTGTAACAAATTCTATGCTTTGGGTATCTACAAAATAAATTGTACCTAACGATTATGATTTGACAACTTGGTTTTTAAATTGTACCAACTGTAAGCTTTATTGTCAAATGTTTCAAATCCAGGTATCTGCATGGAGAAACAACATACCGGAAAGATTAAATGTCGCACAACACTTGTTATAAAATGGCTGCTCATTAGGGAAAATGGAAGATAATTTATATATTTTAAAGAATTTTAAGACAGTAAAAATGTGAATAATGAATGGGAAGAACTATATATTTCCAAGGAAGAATGTAAAAATAGAAATAAGCTAATCAATGAACAAGTACATTTTTACTTTAGTTGTACTACTAATAAAAACTTCTTGGCCGGTACGAGGTAGCTTGTATTTCCAGTATTCTAGCTCACTTCCGGTAGCCAATATGATAAGTAGGGACACCATTGAGATTCTTGTCATTTGCCTATCGGGTCTTATGAATTGGAGTGTCCTATCCAAATTGACGACCACATACCACATTTTGTATATAAATACTGCCTTGAGAGTTAACATTATAAGTTTAAATACATGTTTCATGTGTTATTACTTTCTGTTTTTCAATACCAAATCAAAGCATGATGAAATTTATTGCTATTAACAGATCTAATTACTGTACATTTTCAAGTAGATTTGATTGCTAATACTTCTAACAATCTTATGTATTGTTTCAGATGTCCTAAACAAAAACACTGATGAAGGGTAGAAAGGAATAATTACATGGACGGATCTCTCCAAAACTCTCAATTATTTATCGGCTGAGAAAATCTTTTTAATTCTTCAGGAAATAACATTTAATATTATCTCACTACTCTTGAGAATTGTAGTTTTCTTGTAGTAGCTTATTACTGGAATTGTCACTACTTGATTATCTCAATAATCCAATTTAAAAATTCACTCTAGGCAAAATCTCGGAGAATAAAAATACATATCCATTTTGGTTGTGGATTCAATTATAAGGATGTTGGATTATGTACAAATGCAGTTAGACATTGGAGGTGTTATTTTCTTATTATGAAATATGTTGAATATTTTTTTTTGTTACAGAATTTAAATAATATTTAATTAAATATTGATACATTCTAATTGTTGTATTTTTTAATGCTATTTCTTAGTAAAATAATTTGCATACATTATCAACAATATTCCTTGATGTTTTTCCCTTGGTAACTCAGATCCTGTATATCCTAACTCCTGAGGGGGTTTCCTTATATGAGGATTGTTCAGAAAGTAAGGAACATTCAAGTCTGATGCTGCTAGGTGTGTGACAATTGCACACTTTCAATTTCATATGTGTTCACCTCGTCAGTGACTGACGAGCCATCACATTTGAAGTGTCGTTTTGCTACCCAATGTTGATGTTGCAATATACAAGATGAAAATGTGCACAGCAATTAAAAATCCCACTAGTTGTTAGGTAGCAGTCTGTAAAACAGTTTTTTGGCCAAAAACTTATTTATCCCAAAATGTGTATATGGATATATTTAAAAAATGGCCTTGCTACAGGAGAATGGATTAATTCATTAAAAATGATTTCTGGTGTTGTACCAGTCCGCAACGTACCAGGCTAACTGCGTAATGCAAGACACCATGCTGTAAGAACAATGATCACAGAAGAACTACGGAAAAAAGGCTGGCAAGTAGTAGAAGAAATACATTGCATTGAAGATGGTGGATCAAACAGAAGATTGGACATTTCAATATATGACACAAAATCTAAAAGTGGAATTATAATTGATCCAACTATAAGGTTTGAAATATCAAAAAAATCAACCGTTAGAAGTAGATGAAAAAAAGAGAAAAATGTATAGTGAATGTGAAAATTAGATTAAAAAAAATATGATATATATTCTATATCAGTAATAATGGCAAATTGATTGGTGCAAGAGGGACTATTACAATATTTTTTGTAGAATAAAAAATATATAATCTTCCATCAAAATTATAAAATGTTCATGTGGTTAACAACTTGGTCATTTAAATGTTAAAAGGATCATGTCAAATCATCCAAAATCATTTATATGGACAACATTATTAATCTATTTTACTTATTATTTAGATAATAAATTTATGTTTATTGTTAATGTGTCTAACAGGCAAAGTTTATTATAATAAACTCAGTTTTCAAAATAAATGTAGGTAAACAATACAATTAATGACAGTTTAAAAATGGCTGAACCATAATTCATGACCAAGAGAAGAGAGCACGCCTCAGCATTATCACTGATGCTATTTCTTACTTAAGTAATTAAGTAAACTTAGGTTGTTGATAAAAGACTCGTGAAAATTGTCATCTCACAATAAGAGATCCAAAGGTTTTAAGGACTTAGTTCTTTGAAATTGTAACTCAAAAGCTCGGCTACAAGAAGATTATTGCAACTAAGTTTTTGTGTGTTTCTGATAGACTACTCTAAACGGTCCTCTCAAACATTGCTCAACCTACAGAGAACAAGTTTCCTTGGATAGTCCAGACTTTGCTCCAAATTATTTTCACTAGTTTATCTAAATGAAGACATGATTACAGGGTCCATTCAATAAGTATTGTAACTGGTTCTGTAGCCTCAAAAGAGCAGTGGAGAGGGGTCTGAGGTTTGACCGGTTGGGTCCGATAGATGGGTCCTTCACCATTCAGGAGCACTTTGGTTTAGTCGCCTACGGGCATTTGTTGAGACAGGAGGTCGATATTTGCGCCGAGTATTTTTTTATTGTGTCGTTGCGCCAACATGGAGCGTACTGTCGAGCAAAGCTGTGAAATTTTGCTTTAAACTTGGAAAAATCAAGTCAGAGACCCTTGCCCTCAACTCAAACATTTTATTGTCGAGTCATACTGGAACCCAGGTAATAATGTTGTCCAGATAGTTTGGATCTTCTTGGACGCTATCCAAGATTTCATGCGAAATTTCAATCCTTGACAGTTTTTGTTCCTCGCTCAGGACTTTAGGCACCAGCTTCGCACAGACTCTTCTCATCGCCAAATTCTCTGTTACGATATTATGGATGGTTCCCACTGAGAGGTCAGTCTTCTCACTGGTGTGGGTGATGGTTAGAAGCCTGTCAGAATCCAAAACATCATTCACTTTGACCACGTGAGCCTCGGTTTGAGCGCCGTACTTGGTGTTCAGGTCTCCCGGTCTTCCTTAACATTTGGTTTCACTCAAAAACTCTTGTGCAGCTTAAAGCATCATCACCATAAGCCTGTTTAATGAGGGCAAGGGTTTTCGACACGGTTTTTCCAAGTTGAAGGCAAAACTTCACAGCGTTGCTTGACGGTACGCTACATGTTGGCATATTGACACAATAAAAAAACACTTGGCGCAAATGTTGACAAAGTGACATCTGAATGCTGAAACCTCCAGTTTCAACGAATGCCCGTAGCCGACTAAACCAAAGTCCTCCTGAATGGCTTCTGTCGAACCCAACCGGTTGGACTCCTCTCCAAATTTTTTTTTGAGGCTATAGTGAACCAGTCCCGATACTTATTGATTTGAAAGTGTAGAAGCATGATGACGAGGATCTCCAGTTGTTTGTCTCTGAGTGGCTGAAGATCGCAGATTGCGGAATTCTACAACAAATAAATTTCAAAACTTGTAAACTGATAGCGGATGATTTATAGGATTAGTTCCTCAATTTGTTTTGAGACTACTAAAAACATTTGTATTCGAGTTTTTTGCTTGTAAAACCTCTTTGTATTCAGTTTGAAAACATTCCTTACTTTCTCAATAGCTCTTAACTGAGATTCTAGGATTCTTAGGAAATCCACGCCCCAGTACATCAACATCCCTGAAACTTGTGAATCGGTTCCCTTTGTGTAATGTGATGGAAGTTAACTTCCTATGAAGGGGCTCTAGACCTGCGGCCACCACACCTTGCTACCATGTGGTCTTAGTGATGTGGAGAAACAACAGTAAATAGTAGGATGCAGTTTTGTATTGTAGCCCTGAAGATGCCACACCTGTGACGAATGTGTATTAGCGAATAAATTGGAAAATACACAAGGCAACCAACAAAAAAAAGGAAATATCATTTTAAAATTACCTTTTCATTTTACCGCAGTAGACTTCGGAAGTTTTTCTTAATAATAGGGCAACTTCTTGTGAAAACACTCGACAAACTTTCCATACTCACATGTGGCTCGTGCATAAACGTTTTCTCTCATGATGTGCAGCTAAGTGCCACTAGTTTGCACTAGTTACACAAATAACTATTAGATGATAAATAACTCTTCAGCAGCGGTTTTAAATTATACAAAATGGCCGCTAGCCTCCAAAGACTCTTAAAAAAAGGTATAGTATGAAGAAAAAATGTTGTTTGTAACATGGGCCAAAAGGTCCTAATGATGAAATGTTTTAAAATCACCATATATATGAAGCTATGCTGCTATGCTGCATTTTATACCTGATGTATATTATTATCAAGTGTAATTCTTATTCATATCTGTAAAATAAATGAAAATGTATTGATTAAACTATTTATTTTCATAAAGTAACAATAAATAACAAATCAATACCACAATGCATTACCGGTACTCAAGACTAATTAACAACATTTGTTAATTGACCACAACAACAAATGAGGTACCAAGATTATATACGGTAGTAACAATCCTTTTCTTAATACTTGTTGAAAGATAGATTAGTCTTCATTACAATTATCACAGTTGAATTACATTTTTCTAAAGGCGATTTATGAAATAAAAAACAATTGTTAAGTAATTGATCAAACTAGCAACTAAGTTAAAAAAATTAAAATACACAATACAGCTTCTCAATTAAGAAATCAAAACTCATGGAATTGTAACTTTAGATACAAACAACAAAATATTATTTTTTTCCTGAAAATTTGAAAAAATAACAAATCCTGGCTAATACACTTAGGGAAAGGAAACCCTTGTTACTGATTACTGTTGATAAGATCATGCTTGAATTTATAAAAATATCCATTTATAGAAACTTAATAAACAAAGGGGTTTAAGAAAACAGTTTTTTTCGGCAGGTGTTCTTGGCTTCGTAGATGATTAAATGTATCTGATCCGTGTATGCTAGGATGATTCTCTCCAGTTTCTCTCCCCTCCTACCAAACAAGGAATCTACGCTCTCACAATTAAATTTTCCCCGTATTTCCAAAAATTCACATTGTGCACAGTCTGTACCAGCAGGCTGTTTGGCACGAGGAGGAGCGTTTACCATCGCCTTAAGATTGGGGAAAACAGTGTTCTCTGGAGTAGACAAGCCTTTGCAGTCCCCTTGGCCACATTCTTCTGCCAAATTTTCCCTGCGTTCTGTGGAGAATGTTTTGACTCTTCTCGCTTTTCTGACATCTGTCACTTTGATCAGACGGTGTGTTACAGGTGGTATTTTGGATACACTTTCTATTACATGCTGCGTTTGAGACACATGTGATCGGAGGAAGTTGATTATAGAGCTACGACCCCGAACAAATCTTCCAAACCAATCCATGACAGCATCTTCATGGAGTTCGTGAGGGGCCCACCCCAAATAGTTGTCCATCATACTGACAAAGGTGTTTGCCATCTTGGTGCACCTTTCTTCAATTTCATTGGTCTAAAAACAGAAAAAACCTGTTAGAAACAGGGTTAAAACAGAAAAATCCTACTAAAGAAAGACCATTGGTTGGGAGAGAAGGTAGTTTAGGAGTGTCTAATGTCATTTCTCACTCTATTATTACTGTCCAAATGAAGGTGTTGTACTTTGGACCTATATGTACCTTGGACCTATACTTATTTTAGCACTATCTGTTAAGTAAAGGGAGAACTTTTACCATAAGTTAATGCTTATGCTACCAGAGGTCTATCCTTATGTTTTCAAGTTGGAATTGTATGTGTCCTGTTGACAGGAAAACTGTAACAAGTTTTTATAAGGTAAAAGTAAGTATATGCAACTTTTAATTTTCTTTTATTATGTTAGATTTAATGATTGTTTATCTCAGCTTGCAATTTGGTGCTATACACCAACAACTCAGCTACAGTTTCATATGATTCACACCATGTTAATCCTAACCTAGAATAGTCTAGAACCAAATTTATACAAAATGGCCGGGTGTTGTATCTTGAACCTAGTTCATAGGTTGTACCATGGACCAAAGTAGCCTAGAGGCTACTAAAGGCATAGCCTAGACTTTAATAATTTTGCCAAAAGGTTTATTATAGGCATTTGTAATTTAATTTGCTATAAACGAACACGACAGCCCCCAAGACAGTTCTAGACGATTACATGTATTGTATTGTAAGGGCCAGTTTTTTTATATTTTATCAAATAAAAACTAATTATTAATTTGATAACATTTAAATGTGTTTCTTCATTTATTTCCTCTACTTTAAAATCAGTGGTCCAAGGTACAACATACGTAGGTAGGTCCAAGGTACAACATAGGTATTGTACCTTGGTCCTAATGTTATAATTTTTTTATACCGTAATTGAAAATATTTTTTTTTTTTTTTTTAATAAAGGGTTAACTTAAATAGAGTATATATGCATTGTGTTAAAGAACAATGATTACTTTTCACTAACATTTATTGTGTTTCAAAGTGTTATATCAAAATAAAAAAGTAAAATAGGTCCATGGTACAACACCTTCCCCTACTTTATATACAGAGGGTCATAAAACTATTACAAAACTCAAGCACAGAGCCCACATTAATGCTGTCAACATTCACCAAGAAAGAACAGGCACAAATTGTTTGATCCTGGCCCTTTCACCAGCTAAGCCAAGTGTTAGTAAGCTTACAAGGTAATATTTAAACTAATTTAATTAAATATCACAGTGATTCAGAGGCTACGCCACCAGAATTGTATAACTTGTCAATTCAGTCATGCCATGCATTTTTGAAATAGTATTTTGCAGTGTCTTGCAGCTGGTGACATCTAAGCTGGCACTTGGCCGACCGCTACTACAGCAGACTCTCGCTCATCCGAATCGGCCTTGTCCGGACTCCCGCTAGTCTGGATCGGCAATCGTGTTTTTAGCAAATTTCCCTATAGTTTCCTATAGTATAGTAGCTATTACCGTAGGTGGCACAGTAAGATCTAGGCCCGGGACTGATTTACTTTTTCATTTTGATGTTTCCAGAGGCCAAAAACACCATTATTTCAAATTTATATATTTAGGCCTGTGAACGCAATAACTTGAGTAATTTTTGTCCGATTTTGATGAAATTTGGTTTAAACGTTTAAGGTGGGATAAACTTAAATGAGTTTGCGAACCAGCATGATCGGACCATGGGAACAGGGTTTTACGGGGAATTTTTAAGGGGAAATTTAATGGCTTTTATTATTTGTTATCCTCGAAACACAAAATTTCCCAATTTCTCTCTAGACCTCTTAAAAGAGCTTGAAAAAACAAATAATTTAGGACCGTAAGTGTCTTTGTACGGTAAAATGAGTTGTGATAAACATAGGAAGTTGAAGTTGTGACAGTTGAAGAAAAACTCTGTGCAATCAAGCGGATGCTGGTGAAACGGCAAAAAAAGTTGCCTTTGAGCTAAGAGTTGGGACGGATACCGTTTTGAACTGGAGGAAAAATCGGGAACAAATAGAAAAATGGTGCACCTCTCAAACAAATGTAAGCGCAAGTAAGGTGAGGAAAACAATGCATCCCCTACAGGTAAACATAGTGAAGTTAAAGAGGCTTTAGTTTTGTGGCACAAACACTTAAGAGGCACTAGGTTTCATTGGTTCATTGGACTTTATTTTTTACTGAATTTTTTTCAAGTGTTGAAAAATAACTAGCAGCTAACAACTTGCCAAGAAAAGCAATTCTGTTGTTAGATAATGCGTCGACGCACCCTATTGCTAATGAGTTAAAGGACGAGGACATTAAAGCTGTTTTTTTGCCGCCAAATGTCACTGCCCTTTGTCAGCCAATGGAGCAAAGGGTACTTCAGGCACAGAATTTGAAATACCGCCACCGACTTTTTTCCCATATCATATCGGCAATAGACATTGATGAAGATTACATCACTGCAATTAAGAAAATTGACATTTTGGATGTAATTAGGTGCGGCTGAAGGATTGGAAGAAATCCCGTCCATGATGATCACATGGGTAACAAATTCAAGGAAATCGACGGCGGGGAATTTAATCACGATGAGAAAAAAGTGGAAACAGAAAATGTTGACTCGCTGCTGGAGAAAATACCAGGATGCGACGAAGTGAATGAAAGTGACGTACCTTATTAGAGTGAATGAGCAATGACGACAAAGATGAATTACAGACGACGACTTTATAAGAATGGTGTCAAATTAATCTTGACGATGAATTTGAAGATCTGACGATCATATATTGTCATGAACATCTGACAAAACAACGTTTGATAGAAACGAGACCAGGGTTTAAACTGTTTCTCTAGGCCTACAAAAAAACCTGTAAGAAGTGTCAATGCATAGACAAATTACGGTAGGTACTTATTAAAGTTCTAAACCCGCTGTTCAGAATCTAAAACAATTTCAACCACACAGGCTACCACTTGATTCCCGTGCGTATATGACGGTCCCACAGCTAGTAAGTTAGCAAGGTACCAAATCTTTGCTTTATTAGGCTATATTTGGTAAAATGTCTAGTTTCTGGTGACATAAAAATTCCTGTAGGTTCCTATGGCCATCTTCTCCTGCACAAGTTAGCTTAATTTAAGTTACTGCTGGATGTAGCCTAAGTAGGGAATAAGGAATTAGTAGGAATTGGAGGGTCAGTAACTTAGCTAGCACTGACAACAGCAGGGTGGCATACACTACTGTGCATAAATGCTCCCCTAACTTACTCAATGTATAATACTAAACCCTCACAAAATAGCCGCAAACCGTAGGCCTACCTACATCCCGTTCACTCTGGACTTGCGAGCCTGACCGCGGTGTATAAAAGGACCCATTTTAGTCAATGTACTTATCTAAGATTTACTTAAGATTTCAAGTATTAGGCCTCAAGGCCTGAGAGTAAGTAGGCCTAGGAACTCATATCTTGAAACTCTACACACTTAAGTAGACTATGCCTCCAAGAACCTTTGTGTACTTTAGACTAAGGAGGATCATCGATGATAGTCGATGTTTTCAAAACAAAGATGTTTTTCTATCGATATTCGATGTTTTCTACATCGATGGTAAGTACCTAGGTTACCACAATGTTTTTGGTTCCCTTAGTGTTGGAAAATCAATGTTTTCCATTGTTTCGAAACGATGCTAACTTATTGGTACATCGATGTTTGATGTCGATAAGATCATTAGATCTACCATCGATGGTCATGATGCTAATGATGCTCATTCCTACTTTAGACCTACCTGAGAAGTTTGATTTCCGCAGATAGAAAGGGGAAGCCTATGTGTACTTGCCATGGTAAGATTCCTGTTCAGTCGTTAATTTAAAGCGACCCACAGGCTTTATTTTATATAAACACTTCAATCCTTAACGCTTAAGTGTATAACTTATTCAATGCGTTATAGGCCTAGGACACAGACAAACACTAAGTTAGCATAGGTTAATCCACCAAAAGGTAAAAACTACCGAGAATAATGCACTGAAAATAGTAAAAATGCAACGTCCTACAAGGCTATTGTTTGTATTAAGAAATACGTATAATACAAGTAAAATTATCTTCTTGTCTAATTCACTATTACTTCGAAGTGCACTAATATTTTGCCATTTTAATTAATCCGGCTACTTTTCTGTTCTGTTGTTCGTTGTTATGTTCTGTTTCCATTTTAGCTTCTGCTAGAAAAAAATTAATTGTTGTAGGCCCATTTTTTTTGTGAATCGGCTTCATCTAAATACAGGTAAGAGGTGACTGACAAGAGCCAATAAAGACTCTTTGCTCAAGACAATAGCTCAGGTTTTGTAACCAAGCAGTAAGTAAAGCTAAAGCAAGTATCATAAAAAAATCACCTTGATAAAAAACCTCATCATAAAAAAACATAAAATAAAATCTGAGAACACTAGTGCTCAACGTTACCAACATAAACCACACATAAAAATAACCTAAATTTTTAGTATTTTACCGAGGACCCCAAATGATCAATTGTGTCGGTACTTTTTTGCATTTGGTTGCTAATGTCATCTGGTGAACCTATGGGTAAACCCACAGTTCTGTACACATGAGGGCGGCAGCCACCGTGGTGGCCGCCTAGGACCGTACACATGGCAGCGGTTGGAGCCGCGGTTACGATGCAGTTGCGGTGTTAATTGACCGTCGCTCGACAGCCAGTACTGTATTTACCCAAATACCCAATATTTTTTTAACGCGTAACGCTTGACAGACAATTCTTTTCAGCAAAAAACTCAACTTACTCTTGCCACGCAATCTTATTTGTCCTAAACGTATCTTCTTTTTGTACTTCTTTAATGGCATTTCAGTGTCAACTTTTCTGGTTCCACCGCAGCACGCATGGCCATTGTGAACTTACACTACGAACACTACATCAACTCCAGCCACAGCTACACACTTCACCAACACAGAGAGCGATGTCCACAGGGCAAGCGTGCAGATGTCTGTGATCCTATATAGTAGCAACTGCAGTCAACCGCTGCGGCTACCACCTCACGTGCCGAGCTGAACGCTCTCATGCCAACTCTAGTAACTTCAACCGCGCGGGAGCCGCGGCGGTCGAAGGGAAATCTACGACCGCCGCGGTTTGTTGTGGTTGATTGGAAGTGCGGTTGAATTGAATCGGAATTGATGCGGGCCTGGCCTAATCGATATTTTCTCAATTTTGGGGATTGGCCAGATTTTGCCATTCAGGAAAAAATAATCCTGCATGTATCCATACGATTAAACAGATGTAACTTTTTTAAAGACTTGTCTGCTTTGAGAGAATTGAACAAATAGCTGTCACCATACCTTGGAGGTTTATTTACTTATTTTAGCGAATTTCCCATATAGGGAATAAGCTATTACCGTAGTACTCATAGTAAGACCTGGACCCGGGACCGATTTAATTTTTCGTTTTGAGGTCCCTAGAGTCCAAAAACACCATCCGTTCACATCCCACTAATAAATAACACAATAAATATATATTTATTTATCTCTGTGTGTGTGTGTGTGTGTGTGTGTGTCCGTTAGCGCGATAACTCGAGCAAAAATGATCCCATTTTGATGAAATTTGGTACAAACGTGTAAACCTACGTTTATTCGAACGAGTTCGCGATCCAGCATAATCGGACCATGGGAACGGGGGCTTATGGGGTATAAATGGGATTTTCCCACGGTACATATGATTCTGTTAATCTGTTTAGGCATCAATAAGTAGTTGAATTGTTGTTCTGGGAGTTGGAGAGTATACTGGTATTTGGATATACATTTTTTAATCACCATTAGAATAGTAATGCTATTTATAATTGATTCTTACAAGATTAATTAATCTTTCCCCTTAAATTCTTTAACTATTAAAAAATAGTTCAAATAAGTTACAAAATATTAATTTTTAAAAATTTGCATTATTATAATTGTTATATGTTAAGCAGGTGTTCCCCAATGTATCTAGTATCACAACTATCACATCATCTGACTACATTATTATAGATCCAATTTACTACAGATCCCAACCGTGCCGACCATTTCCCAACGTTGGGCCAACAATAACAACAATGTGTGCTACTTGGGCTGACATCCGGTATGTTAAAAGTTTACTTTTATGATATAGTCTAAACATTTTGTTTAACTGTTTGGGGAAAAAGAAATTATTTTTGCAGTGATTTTAAGACAACTTTAATATATATGCGATTTTTAGTATAGGCTACTTGAATTATTTTAAAAAGTCTTTTAGTCATGGCCCTAAAACAATGCTTTAAGGAACAAGAGATTTGCTGTCAAAATATATTTTTCAAACCTGTGGGAAATATATTTTGCCCAGCTTACCCAGCTTAGCTTGGTTGAAACAAATTACCAAAATATATTTTTAAAACCTAAACAGGCTATTTATAAAATATTTTTACAATTACAATTCTATAAATATTCTTAAAAGCTATTTTTTTAGGCAAATAAAATATTTCAAAATATCCTTTACATAAAAAACTAAATTATTTTGTCTTCATACATTAAAAATATTTTGCAAATATGTTCACCCGAAAAATAAAAAAATATTTACAAAATATATTTTTAAGACCTTTGAAATATTTTTAAAATATTATGTTAATATATTATTTTAAAAATATATTTTAAAAATAATATTAAAATATATAACATATTTTTAGGATGGATATGTATTTTTAAAATATTTATAAAATAACCTTGTGCTGTCTGGGATTTTATTGGGGACAGCTCACTTACTCTCTACCAATCATAGCGAGCCTTGTAAATAATATTGTAGGTTCGCCTGTAATACAGGCTAATATCCACTACGAGCCTATCGAAAATATAAAATAAATTAAGAGGGTTCTCATACTCTACAGATCATAGTGCCTATGAACCAATCGTATGAATTATTTTATAGTTCAGGAATCGGCTCGTAGTGTATATGAGCCAAAATACTGAATTAATATAATGTACAGAAATGGACACGTACGCACTAAGATCCTACGGGAAAATATTAGTTGGTTCACCTACACTACTACAGCCATAGATAAAACGTACTCCTCCTACAGCTCACCATGTCTACAAGTCGCGCGAATGAGTTCTTGAAACTGAAGGCACTAAGCCCGGCTTCGACTGCTGCGAGTGCCCAGAAATGTAATGAAACACCTCTTAACACAACCAGTAATGTTAGGTTAGGTTATACATTTATAACTTTAGGTGAGACAGTGGGTCATACACCGCACGTCTAGTACAACGCCTTCGACGAAGCGCTGCAAACCGTGCGCCGAGTAGACATGATGAGCTGTAGTGTAGTGAGCCGTCTACTATTTTTGCGATATTTATTATGAAATAGGCAATACAGTAGGCTCTTAGTATATGGGAGCATATTCCTACAATTTATGTACATTCAGTATTTTGGCTCGTACACACTACGAGCTGATTCCTGTATTATAAAATAATTCTTTCGCTTGGGTCATATGCACTATGATCTCTAGAGTAAGTGAACCCTCTTCATTTATTTCATATTTTAGACAGGCTCGTAGTGATACGTGTGCAAGTAAACCTTCAATATTTTTTACGAGGCTTGTATACGGTATGATCTATGATCTATGGAGTTAGTGAGCCACGTGTTTAAGATAAAGCTTTGTTACTAACTAAGATCAGATCAGCTGTTTACTTAACCAGGAAATCTTAAAAGTCCAACAATCAATTAAGGTTTTTAGCTCGTATTTTATTTTCTAAGAATGACCAGCTGTTTTTCAACCCTTAAGCTGATTTAGCGAATACCATGGTTAGCGCTGTTGTTGCAAACACCAGGAAATAACGTCTATCAGCTGATGGAAATATTCTAACTTGCTGCTAAATCTTTGGAACAGCTTCGAGATCTACAATCCACATCCTAGAGTCAAAGTCAAGTTCGCGGCTACAGTCTGACACTCTCTCCATGTTACTTTCTACTGCCCCAGTTGCCTAGTTGTAGGATGTTATTCAACATATGATTGGTTGCTGTTGCAAAGATTACGTTACAGACAGCTGACTGCTCCATGCGACTTACAGCTGGAGACATAGCTTTCCTAGCAAGTTTTCCATGGTTATCAAGAAATTAATAAAGTTATCCTTTTATTATCTTTAACTTTGGAAACAATAGATATCCCTTTTCAACTCAGGTAGTAACATGAATTTAAATTAGTTATCTTTGTTAATTGTTATTCCCAACAAATTGTTAAACTGAAGACCATTATAAGGTTAGTTGCAAACTGTTTATTACATAGACTGTTTTATTGTTGTTTACTATATTTAATTTTTAGTGTTCAACGTACTCTGCTATTCGTTTCATTTTTTGCCTCCAAAGATGTGAACGCATCTGCCTTCAGGGCTGTAGCGGGTATGACAACAGTAGACACTGTTTGCTAGATCATGAAGTGCTGCATGGTGCACACGGCTCTTGTCCTACAGGGGCCACAGTACCTCCTTTAGAGGCTCTCTTTCCGGGAGGAGATCTCTCAGAGCAGTAACCGACATGGAAGTCTCCAGCTTCACTTTCCAAGAGTGAGGCTTGAGTTTGGAAGGAGAATCTTCTCGTACTTCGGCCCAAAGATGTACTACGACCTCCCCACTGGCCTCAAAATATGCCTTGTCCTCATTTAGAGCTAATATCAAAGAATTGTTCTCCGATGGTTAGTTATTGTTATTTATATTGTCTAAGTGTTTCTGTTTTGTTATTGTTCTATTCATTTGTTTGTTAGTTAAGTTATTGTTACTTATTATACAGGGTGAGGTAGTGAAAGCACACCAATTTTCGTTCGTTGTCACACTATAAGTAAAGCAACAATGAACAGCTGTGCTTCTAACATCAATTGTATTTGTGAATTAAAAATTATTTGCCATTTTAGTAAAAATTATGCCTGAGGCTTATTATACTGAGATTTTGGTGTGGAAACCTATTTTTCCTACAGTCACCCGACAAAGTTGGCTTCCTTGTACTGTTTATAGTACAGAAAGCTGCTAATTGCTGCATATTTATACTTTGCCGTACGGTTTATACTTTGCCGTACGGTTTATACTTTGCCGCACATCAGGATTCCAACGAAACAACACAAAACAGCGTGGTTCCATTATGCACGTAATCCGTGTACGCTTGGAAATAGGTTGGCAACACTTAAAGATAATTATACTAT